TTAGCTAGGGAGAATCTGCTCTTCTTGCCAGAGGAGTGGCAAAATGCTCTTCGTAAACGACGAGACAAATAAAGTTTGATAGATTCTTCTAGCCAAATCACAGATAAATTATTCAGCATCGTAAGGCATCTAGCTGAGACAACTCAGAGAAGTGCTGATATACACTCAAACGCAAAAAACCCGGTACACTAAAAATTTGGGAAAAAATTACAAAATTTCAAATGATCATAACTTGGTAAATAATGAAGATAGAAATATGCGCAGAAATGCAAAATGAAGCTTGAAACATCCTCTTTAAGAATATCTGAATGGCAATTATGCTCGGCCATTTTTTCAAAATGGCGGATGATAAAGTGAGAGGATGCAAAATTGATAATCAAAGGTCCGTGTTTGCGATGGTGCATGGTGTGCATCAGGTATCGCAGCGTAATGGGACCAAATGCACATGAAAGTATAGAGTGTTATCTTTAAAATGCTACTTTACCGAGCTCGATGTGATCATTTTTCACTGAGTTGTTCCAAATTTTGCTAAAAATGCGGTTTTCTTGTTAAATTTGCATAATTCAATGAATAGGTATCGCATCAAGCTCTATAACGAAGTATTTTAAAAAAAACATTCTATACTTTTAGGTACTTTTCGTCCCATTGAGCTGCGACACTTACTTTGCTCCATGCGCCGTCGCACGCTCGAACCTTTTTTTAGCAACTTTTCATGTTCTCCTTTTTATCACCCGCCATTTTGAAAAAATATCGTTGCGCACAATTTCGATAGATCTTTCGAAAAGTACGGTTTCAAAGCTTTCAAACCGTTTTTGAAATTTGCTGCTAGGATATTTAGGTGTCGAGATATTCAATTTCGAATTTGCAACAAATGTCGATTCAGCGAGGCTTAAGGGGCTAAGAGGCTCTACGGTTCGTTTGGGTCTTTCATAATTTCAATAGCCGCGTTCATTATTCTCTATACAATAATTTACACAATTTTGCGAATTGGAAATTTAATTTTTATCAAAAGTTACCATTCTTTACCCTTCAGTTACGCATGATCACTGTGGTATACACTTTAGTTCGCGAAGCTGTCCCTAGCTCTCTACCTTCTCCGTACGATTGGCCATTATGGTACACAGCTTGAATATGCTGTTCAGGATCGCGCCTGAGTTCGCGGTGACCCGGCGCGCGGGATGCCGAGTCGCTGGACGCCACCTGAACGTCGAAATTCCCTGGCGCTCCTAGTCCACGGAGCCGCCGCGACGCGGCGATCTAGGTTGTCGCGCGCGCGCGAGCCCCTCGGTTCGCACGCGAGTTCGAGCTGCCCAGGGCATATAAGAGTGCCCGCGGAGACGATCAGAGATTGCCTTCGTACAGCTTTTGGCCTTCGTACGGTCCACCGCCGATAGTGGCACTATCTCTTGTACGCTGGACTTCGCGAGTTTGTCAGTACGCCGGGCTTACGTTCTGGCTTGACTGAGATTCTGTCGGTGCGCCGGGCTTTAACGCCTGGCTTGACTGGATTTTTCTTAAATGTATGTGCCAAGACAATAAACAAAGACAAACAATTTTCCTTTTCCGAACGTGTTCACTCCGATAAGCGCTGCCTCGTGCGACTTTTCTTTTTCCGTGATCTTTTCCTTTCGAGGCGCGTTGCTTCGTGCAACTTCATCAATTTAAACTTCATCAATTTAATATGACCGATTTATTGTTTCAAATTCGTTAAGAGACAGACATCGAACATCTGTTCAAATTAGAAACAATTTAAGGGATGTGCGCAACATTAATGTATCCGTTAACACCGTTCGGAGAAGATTAAAGGAACGAAATCTGCTTTCGCGCAGGCCAGCAGCTGTACCTTTGCTTAAATGTCACCATCACGTAGCTCGACTCAATTTTGCAGTTGAGCATAGAGACTGGACTTACGCAGACTGGAGTAAAGTACTCTTTAGCGATGAATCTCGTTTTTGTGTCTATTCTCCAGATGGACGAAAACGAGTTTATCGTAGCGGTGGAGAACGATTTGCAGTCTGTACGGTAAGTGAGAGGTATAGCTACAATGGCTCTGTAATGATTTGAGCAGGAATTTCAGCTAATGCTCATACAGATTTGCACTTTTTTTGACAAGAATATGAACGCAGATATGCGTGGAAGACATACTCATTCCGTATGTTGTTCCGTACGCACCCTTCATCGGAGAGAAGTTCTTGTTTATGCAAGACAATGCTCGACCACACACTGCGAGAAGAGTGCTTGATTTCTTCGATGAAGTTGGCATAAATCGACTCGATTGGCCAGCAAATAGTCCAGATTTAAATCCAATCGAACACTTATGGGACAACCTCGGCAGGAAAGTATGAAATCACGTACCTGCTCCTCAGTCACTGCGAGAACTGTGAATAATTCTCGAAAACGAATGGAATACAATTACGCAGGATGAAATTAAAAGACTAATAAGGAGTATGCCTGATCGTATGAATGAGGAAATACGCGCACGAGGCAGTCATACCCATTATTAGTACACACACACTACACACACAGCAGAGAGGGTTTGGAGTCATTAATTACTGGAGTGACGAACTGCGGGGTCCTTATCTCTGCTGTAACACCACACACACACACACACACACACACACACACCACAAGGAGGGTGTGAAATCTTGAAATACTGTGGAGCTGACGAACCACGGGGTCCTTATCTTTGTGGTATACAAACACACACACACACTACATACAATAGGACTTTTCCTACCAGTAAAATTCCATGCGGTTTATATTGGGACGACTTACAACCATAATTTGAGCTAATGACAGCGGTATCTTAAAACGCAATTCATCTTTATTACGTAATATCGATTACGCAAAATGAAGAACCTAAATTGAATTTTACTTTCATTTCCCTGGCTTTCAAAATAATAAATGCAAATCATTGAATATATTGTGCTGGTTATGTAAATTATTATATAGAGAAACATGAACACAGCTATTGAAATTATGAAAGAGCCAAACGAACCGCAGAGCCTCTTAGCCCCTTAAGCCTCGCTGAATCGACATTTGTTGCAAATTCGAAATTGAATATCTCGACACCTAAATATCCTAGCAGCAAATTTCAAAAACGGTTTGAAAGCTTTGAAACTGTACTTTTCGAAAGATCTATCGAAATTGTGCGCAACGATATTTTTTCAAAATGGCGGGTGATAAAAGGGGAACATGAAAAGTTGCTAAAAAAAGGTTCGAGCGTGCGACGGCGCATGGAGCAAAGTAAGTGTCGCAGCTCAATGGGACGAAAAGTACCTAAAAGTATAGAATGTTTTCTTTAAAATACTTCGTTATAGAGCTTGATGCGATACTTATTCACTGAATTATGCAAATTTAACAAGAAAACCGCATTTTTAGCAAAATTTGGAACAACTCAGTGAAAAATGATCACATCGAGCTCGGTAAAGTAGCATTTTAAAGATAACACTCTATACTTTCACTACATATACTATGTGCATTTGGTCCCATTGCGCTGCGATACCTGATGCACACCATGCGCCATCGCAAACACGGACCTTTGATTATCAATTTTGCATCCTCTCACTTTATCATCCGCCATTTTGAAAAAAATGGCCGAGCATAATTGCCATTCAGATATTCTTAAAGAGGACGTTTCAAGCTTCATTTTGCATTTCTGCGCATATTTCTATCTTCATTATTTACCAAGTTATGATCATTTGAAATTTTGTAATTTTTTCCCAAATTTTTAGTGTACCGGGTTTTTTGCGTTTGAGTGTATATTGGACATATTGTGTACGTACTATATTTTTGGATTATTTCATAAAAATATTGAATTTATTAGATATCTATCATGCAGAATGAAGCAGCTATTGTCCTATCTTGAATATCTTGAACATATGAGATGTGAGAATAGAAAAATATTTAACAAAATATATGGTACTGAAACAATTGTCTTATAGTAGTAAAGTTTTATTTTCTGAGTAAACTAAGCTTTAAAATCTAAATCCTTTATCATTTTTTCCTAAGTTATTTTTTAAATAAAATGTTTTAATTAAAAATGTAATAAAATTTATTAAAATGTTTTTTTTTGTATCATAACTGATTTTGAATTATTCTTTATCATAGATGATTGTATTTCTTTTAATAACTGTTATCGAAAAATAAACTCAGAAACAGCATTCCATTAAAAAAACAAAGATGACCTTCAAATCTTGAGAATCACCTGAAAAAAGGGTTACCGCCGCAAGGATTACTTCTGCACCATGTAATTTCTCTCTTTGTTAGATAAATTATTATTTATTATTATCGTCTCACTATATATTGTCTGTTTAAGAATAATTATTACGATTCTACCGATTTTGCTGTTGTTTCAGTAACATCCTCTGACAAGGTTGATAACACGAGAAACGAGCTGGAGCATCAAGAGCAAGTGATAGTGCAATCGGGAAAGCTCTTAGGAAAATATGGTAAATGCGAAGTCACTGATGAAGTATTACTTGCATTGGCCTTCGCGTTCTTCCTCGCCTGCGTGTTTTACATTTCACAAAAGAGACTGTTCTGAAAGCCCTTTGTATGTGATATTAATGAATGGATTGATCATTTACGGTGATATTGCGATTGTAACATATTGCGCAGGAACTCTCACGATAAATGACATAGAGAATGTATGTACTATTTAAGAGGAGAAATCGGGTGAGTTTTTACAAGTATTTTAATGGCTTTACGCGTGTATGGATAAATTGCTCGTTAATCTCTGAAGGACGTTTTTATTCGGTCACCAAAATCTTATTAAATAAACTCAACTGGTTGTATATAATGGTATATAACACGGTCGCGCACCGAAAAATCAACTATTACTTATCGTTGCTAAGAAATAAGCCATTTTTTTTACACAGAGCTTATTCTACCGCTTCCTATGTACTCATTTGCTTATATATTTTCATTAATTAAGGAGTAAATATTGAGAAAATTACAAAATGGTATATAATTTTTTTAATACATGTTATATTGCATGTTACATTTCATTTTATTAAGATAATATTACAGTTATATATCCGTGTTTGCTGAGCATGTTATATAACCAGAGATATATTTCTTTTTTTTATTCACTAGCAGAACTTGCATGAAAGAGCAGCAGTATTAGTAGCAACAAGAGCAGCAGCGTCAGTAGCAGCATGAGTAGCAGCATCAGTAGCAGCAGCGGCAGCGGCGGCGTCCGCGACGGAGGGGCGTCCGCGGCGGCGGCGGCGCTGGGACGTCGATGGTAACGGGGCGTAGGCGGTGGCCGCGGCGGCGGCCGCGGCGGCGGCAGCGGTGGCGGGGCGTCCACGGCGGCGCGGCCTGGTTATACGCTCGTAAATGAGAGCTGCATGGCAAAAAAATAAGATCCAGTTTAATTGAATCCTTGCGCCGCACGGAGGATCGCAAATGGATCTTTGCGAGCAATCGACCCTCCTATTTTTCATGTTCTGTAATGTGTAAAATAATATAATACATTGAATTATATTTATGTCGTTGTCGATGCTCGGCTCTTTCCCTACTGCAATCTCGACGGGGGCATCATTCTTGACAGCAGCAACTTCCTTGACGTCGTGATGAGAGAGCCAGCACATTTCTAGCACCCGCTGTTGTGTTGTCCTTCGAGAATTCACTATTTCAGTGCTATCGGTGACGAAATTATAATTTAAATCAAACGATTCCAATTCTAGTATGCACAAATCACAGGGCCTCTGTTGAGGGCAATAGTTCATCACATATGATCCGTGGTCACAATTACTACCCTCGTATAATGAGCAGCACCGTCTTGTCGGTGATGCACGCTCGTTGTTAACGCATTATTCAAGAGAGACACATTTTAATATATGTCCGTGGCACTTTGTTATTAATATATGTAAATTGTTTAGCACAAACACACTAATCATATGTGTCACAATGTCCGACGTATAATATGATTTCCGAACGTAGTGCACTACTTGGAAGGGACAGTCTTTCACCGTCCGATAATACCCCCCTGATGAGCTGATGAAGACAGTCAGTCAATGGGAGATTTCTTGCTCTATTAACAATGGTGCAAACAGATCCAATTTTGCGGCATATGAAATCCTAATGTCCAGGCGGTCCTCTATAATTCGATGCTCCACGGCGCAATGATAATTCTCCCATTGGTTTTTGTTGGGTTCCAAATTGTCCACTTCGGGCAGAGCGATGATAGCACTAGTGGAACTTTTATGATTCATGATGCACGGCTTGATGATGTGGATGTTACGAACGTTGCGGTTTGAATGATGCTGCGAAGAGTGAATCTGTTATGATGGACCGTTCACGAGGTATTGTTCCGTGTCACTATTTGTGCCGCCCTTTTTTAGATTAGGAAATAATCAGTTGATATACGCAGTGTGTGCCATCGATATCTAAACCGGTACCTAAACCTAAACCTAAACAACCCAGCAACACACACAATATTACATGTAACGTGCATGTTAGTTTTAATTACTCAACAATATAATTGTTATATAACATATATGTTATATAACAGTTATATTGTTGAGTAGGAAATTACAACTAACATGCACGTTACATGTAATATTGTGTTTGCTGGGAATATTACAGTGGTTTCTCTTGACAATTATGGGAATCTTGTATGAGTAGTAAATAAATAAATGAGTATATAAATGAGTTTTGCATGAAATCGTCGAGTTTTCGTGCATTTGAAATACGTTTACCATATTTATGAATAGTACATTCAAAGATATTGTGAAGAATGTCGGGCATTATTAATGTTATATAATTATTCAATCCGTTACACAATAATAATAATGCTCGGTACTCTGCAGAATATTCATAAACGTATTCAGAGATACATCAAAAGCGTTTTGGAATAACGAATACTTTCAGATTTCGGCCAGCATCTGTTACTTTTCTATTGAAATGCATAGTGCTCGGAAATATTAATTTAATAATCGTGAAATAAGATAAAAGGTAGAGAGATATGTATAAATGTGAACAATATGTTTTATTTATCAACCGGAAGATTTAGGATGTCGAAAGCATAGGTTGAGATAAAATTTTATGACCGGTGAAAAAAATAGTAACGGGTTATTACTGCAGTTTCTAATTTTATAACTAGAACGACGGACACACATTTGGCGAACTTTTCCCATACATAAACTTTGAACAAAGACGTGTAGATTTTCAGAACTTAGTGCACTATTGTTAAATGTTTTCCGAATCGCCTTTGATCTGGCGCGACGGCTGTTCGTTAGATGTGCCGATTTCTCCGTTTCCATCGTTATACAAAGTGTCTTAAAGATACCGAAACCTCCCCCGGATAACTTTGCAGGATTAAGTTTTTATGAAAAATTTTAAATACAAATGTGGTAGAAAATCGAGTAACGGACTTGATGGTGATCTTGAATTTGACCTCGGCCATGACTTTAAAGATCATTTGCAGGTCAACTTGCGTTTTTTAAATGGTAACCAATATTTTTTATTACACTGCTTTTTTCTATCAATTAATTTGAACAACTTTTGTCTAAAACATTTTTTTATTTGCCTAATATTTTTTTAGATATTGAAGGAAAACTTGATAACTTTTTCTCATATTTAACTTACGATATTTCGCTGACTATTTGTCGGAAGAAAAAGTGGTACTAGACTTTCTTGCTTTATTTAGTCTCAAGAATATATATTGTTACAATAACGCCCTGATTTTTGTTAATTTGATGACTTTGAAATTTCCAAAAGTCAGAAAGATAACAAAAGTCAGGGCACTGTTGTAAGAACATATTCTTGAGACTAAACAGAGCAAAAAAGTCTAGTACCACTTTTTCTTCCGACAAATAGTTAGCGAGATATCGTAAGTTAAATATGAGAAAAAGTTATCAAGTTTTCCTCAAATATCCGAAAAAATATTAGGCAAATAAAAAAATGTTTTAGTAGACAAAAGTTGTTCAAATTAATTGGTGGAAAAAGATGATGTAATAAAAAATTCGAGTTTTCATTTAAGATTTTTATATTGATCTTGACTGGGTTTTTCCCGAAGTCATCTCGAGTTTATAGCAATTCGTAATAGCAAAAGTTTATAGCCTCAAATTTATAGCATCGTCATCAAGTCCGTTACTCGATTTTCTACAACTTTTGTATTTAAAATTCTTCATGAAAATTTGATCTTACAAAGTTATCCGAAGGTTTCGGTATTCTTAAGATACCCCGTATTAAGAGAATAGAATTTCGAGAGAGAAAGAAAAGGGTCTTGTTTTTGCCCGGAGCGTAATACACTAGATTACGAGACCTTCTTCAGGTCATAAAATAAAATAGTCCGCTGACCGTCTCGCCGAATCGTCTCGCTACCTATAGCTATGAAATATTACCCTAGTTTCTCTTAACGAATTGTATAAAGACACTGCGGAAAGTGCACGGAGAAAAGTATCAGAAATATCCGATTGTTAATTTCGTTATTCGATCAAATATTCGGTGTATTTAATTGGATTTTTGATCGGATAACGAAATTAACAATCGGATATTTCGGATATTTTTCTCAGTGTGCGTCTATTGTAAAGGACGGTGTTTATCGTGTGACGTCGTTTGGGGACTTCTTTTATAGGATGCCCCCCATTTTAAACAATCCATTTAAATGTCTCGAAAAATATTAGGCAAATAAAAAAATGTCTCACACAAAAGTTCAAATTAATTAGTAGAAAAAAGATGATATAATAAAAAATTGGGGTTTCTATTTAAGAAAAATAATGATTAATGAATTGGCTCGAAAGTGACACTATCTGTAAACAAACCACTATCCATATAACTTTCGTCTGAAACATTTTTCCCTAAAATAGCGCATCTACAAAAAAAAACGTGGAAGAGAGACGCGAATAGCAGCGTGGGCCGGCTATTTATACGGGAGTGTGAAGCTGAAGAAATTATCAAGTTTTTCTTAAATATCTAAAAATATTAGGCAAATAGAAAAATGTTTCAGACGAAAGTTGTTAAAATTAGTTCGTAGAAAAAGATGATACAATAAAAAATTGGGGTTTCCATTTAAGAAAAATAATAATCAGTGAATATCTCGAAAGTAGCACCATCTGTAAACACAATGATATAATTGTTACATGTCCTCTTTGAAATTATACAACTTTTATTTGAAACATTTTTTATTTGCTTAATATTTTCTGAGATGTTTGAGTGGATCCTTTAAAATGGGACATCCTGTATGTCACGAAATAAATAATCTGCTGGTATGCGCAGTGCAATCGATACATAAACAAGACTACCGGGAAAGCAATAATAATGATGTGCCAATTTTACATCGGAGAGAGAGAGAGAGGGAGAGAGAGGGAGAGAGAGGGAGAGAGAGGGAGGGAGGGAGAGAGGGAGAGAGGGAGAGAGGGAGGGAGGAAGGGGGAGAGAGAGAGAGGGAGAGAGAGAGAGAGAGAGGGAGAGAGATGGTGAGAGAGGGAGAGAGAGGGAGAGAGAGGGAGAGAGAGGGAGAGAGAGGGAGAGAGAGGGAGAGAGAGGGAGAGAGAGGGAGAGAGGGAGAGAGGGAGGGAGGGAGGGAGGGAGGGAGGGAGGAAGGGGGAGGGAGAGAAAGTCGGAGAGAGAGAGAGAGAGAGAGAGAGAGAGAGAGAGAGAGAGAGAGAGAGAGAGAGAGAAGGGGAGAGAGAGAGAGAGAGAGAGTCGGAAAGAGAGATAAGTTGTCCCTGCTTCACTCTCTCTCTCTCTCTCTCTCTCTCTCTCTCTCTCTCTCTCTCAATCACGATGCCGTCATCGTTAGCGGGAAGAAAACGTTTGCACGGTGGCCACGAAAATAATAACGTGAACGATACAATACGCTCAATGTCGTACGATAATTTTGTTCTATTGATCGCGGAGAATGAAAACGTCATGACTGCCGCTGGCGACGCCGCCGCCGTCGAACGCCTGGTCGACAGCATTCGTATGGAAAAGTGGTTTGATCAGCAATGCGACGAATACGGCGGAAACCATCGAATCGATTGCGAATTTGCAAGAATTCGCGTGGGCGATCGCTTTGCTGACACACCGCGCAGCTTGAACGACGTGCTGCGTCTCGTTTTACCTCTTCGCCCGCCCGAATTGTACGAGTCGTCTTTGGAACGACGGCAACCGAGACTCGCCGGATCCACTGACACTCTCGTTGACACTCTGATTCGCGATGTGGGAACGCACGAATTGGACGACGATTACGAGATCAGTAGGACGTCGCCGCCCTGTCATGAATGCGTACGAAAACGTCCAATTTGCACCCATGCTCACACCGTAACGTGTGAATATGATGCGGACGCCTGTACAGTTCTCGCGGTCGTGCGCGAATTTGCAGATTCATATCGCGTGTCGTTTCGCTTGCGTTACGACAGTGATTTGAAATGCTTGGAGAAGATGTTGCGTGGTCATCGAGCGTTCAATTTTCAACTAGAGAAACGCGTTGCTGCGTTGCAGCAAGCTCTGCGATTCGAGAGCACGGTGTATACCGCCACTCAATCACGCTATCAGAATGCACAGTCGGAGATAGCCGGTCTGCGTGAGTCTCTGGCCAACCTGGCTCAGATCGGCATCGAGCGGATGGAAGAGCGGCTTCGAGATATGGCTAATCGAGCTGAAATAGAACGGACCAAGGTGATCTCCGAGCTGGAAGCTCGCCGCGACATTCTGCTGCTTGAGATAGAAAAATTTTTGCGGTCTGACAGTGCGATCTGTCGGATGCTGCGTTCGCTGGAAAGATTGAATCAGCAGGAAGATGGCCGTCGCGCACATCGTGTAATTTAGAATTTATCATGTCGCGCAAAGACTATCTGGCTGGTGTGGCGTCTCACTGTGAGAGCGGCGGCGCGCTTTTGCTCGCTACCGATAGCGCGGAGGAATTACACAGCGTCATTTCCAGCTGTGACGCTCTGCGAGCCGTGCACACGGACACATTTGACCGAGCGTTTCGCGAGTATGCGGTCGAGCAGGAGCGCGCCGAACGGCTAGAAGTTACGATTCGAAAAAATAATGCTCCGTACGAACGATTCGCCAAACTGGCGTATCGGTGGATCAAATGGCGAGAGTGCGTAATGAATGACGCTGTCGGCCACGTGTGGCTGCCCGCTATATTGTTGGAAAACAACGGCAAGCGTTTCAGATGCGAAATAGCGAGGCCTAACGAGTTGTACTGTTGGTACGGTGCGATTCCGCCGAAAGATCGTACTACCAGCCCTCTGCGCGACGTAGATGATCAGTTGCGCAAAACTCTGGTGTCATTTGTGCGTCATGTACTACTGGAGCGCTGTGAAAGAGCGCTGGTCACTGCGAGATTCGCTTTGCTCAACGAGACTCTGCGAAACGCCTCTGATCGGC